ACAGAAACAACATGTACACTCTCTTCTCCGCAAATCAAAACATGCTTACTACCAGCAATCAATAAGTGACTGTGGTAACGACTCCAAGAAGATGTTCAAATTTGCTAATGCACTCTTGAATCGCAAACAGACATCTCCACTTCCTGCGAACGCATGCAGCAAATCCCTAGCTTCGCTCTTCAGCCAGTTCTTTGTTTCCAAGATTGACAGTATTCGAAGGCACCTCTGTACCGATGTTGCTCCACTTCCACCACTGTCTTGTATTGGACTTGCAACACTTGCAGATACTACTTCAGAGGAAATTGAGTCACTTATCCGCAACAACCCTGTGAAATCATGTGAGCTTGATCCGATTCCAACTAAGCTTCTGAAAGAATGTGCCGCTATCATATCTCCTTACATTGCCAATGTGGTCAACCTGAGTCTGCAGAGTGGGAAAGTTCCGAAAGCCTTGAAGATCGCTCATATTCATCCACTACTGAAGAAGCCTTCATTAGATCCAGAATGTCTCCAGAACTATCGTCCAGTCTCGAATCTACCTTACTTGTCGAAACTTCTGGAGCGGGTAGCCTTCTCTAGATTGTATGATTACCTACAGGAGAATGATCTACTCGACAATCACCAGTCAGCTTACCGTGCAAATCACAGTGTTGAGACCCTGCTCGTCAACCTGTCCAACACCATCCTGACAGAAATGGATGTTGGTAGGATCACAGCAGTCGTGTTATTAGACCTGTCGGCAGCATTTGATACTGTGGACCATCGTATTCTTGTTAATGTATTGTCATCCATTGGAATTCGTGACCACGCACTTGAATGGTTCATGTCCTATTTGGATGAACGGCAGCAATTGGTATGTGTAAATCATGAAAGATCTGATCCTGTCAAGCTCAGTTGTGGCGTCCCGCAGGGGTCAGTCGGGGGGCCGTTGCTGTTTTCCTTGTACATCACTAGGCTCAAGCAAGTTTTACAGCAGCATGATGTCAAGTATCACTGCTATGCAGATGACATCCAGATCTACGCATCGTTCCTTCCCAATCAAAATGACGCAAGTCGGACTGTCAAACTACTCGATGCTTGCGTCAAAGATGTGCAAACTTGGATGAACTCGAACTCACTCAAACTGAATGATAGTAAAACTGAATTAATTTTATTGGGTTCCAAATCAAATCTTGCTAAGATACAGTCGTTCAATATATCCATATCAGATTCTGTAATTCATCCTTCCTCGCAATGTCGTAACCTTGGTGTCATGTTAAACTCGTCTATGTCATTGTCAACTCATGTTTCTAGTATTTGTAAGTCAGTCAGATATCAACTGAGAAATCTAGGTTTTATTAGGAAATACTTAAGTCGTTCAACCACAGAGAAACTTGTACATGCTCTTATTTCATCACGCTTAGATTTCTGTAATTCTATTCTCTATCTTCTCCCTAACACACAACTTTCTCGACTCCAGAAACTGCAAAATACTGCTGCACGTATTGTCACACTTTCTTCTCGTAGAACCCACATCACCCCCATTCTCAAAACTCTTCACTGGCTCCCGGTATGTGACCGAATTATTTTTAAGTTGTTGTTGCTAGTTTTCCATTCCTTGTATGACTCTGCTCCTTCCTACAATATCAAGTTGATTGTTAAGTATAAGCCTACAAGACATCTTCGTTCATCTCAATCCTCCTTATTAGTTGTCCCTAAGACGCGCAGTTCCTGGGGGGATAGAGCATTTTCTCATTCTGGTCCGTCCCTTTGGAATAAGCTGCCAGTTAGTATTCGTAATTTAACTACCCTTCATGCCTTCAAAGTTGCTCTAAAAACCCATCTCTTTCTAAACAGTGCTATCTAATCATGTCAATGTAGCGTTATAATTTGTGTTTTAGTTTACTTTATTTTAGTTAAGAAGTTATATTTTTGTGATAGTAATACATGTATGTACAGCGCCATGAGCGTCAGAGCCTGGCGGATACCGGCGCTATATAAATATCCATATTATTATTATTATTATTATTACTTATTCTTATTATTATTATTATTATTATTATTATTATTACTTATTCTTTGGGGTGAGGTTTCCTTTAATTATAGGTTATTAAAATTGGCTGCACCTATCAACAAAAAAACAATCACCAAACTTTTTAATCTATCTCTCTAATTAGGAGTAATTCCTGAAGAATGGAAGCAGGCCAGGATTACCCCCATTCACAAATGTGGGAACACAGACAATGGAATACAATTATACAGTATGTGAATATCATCTGATAACGATTCTACCAACAATCATGAAGGTGTTTAGAAAAGACTGTGCACACCTAGTTTACATGACTATTTGTTGGATTCGGACTTGCTTACTCTTACCAATTCATGTTTCCGGAAGGGTTATTCCACTAATACTGCATTGGCATATGTTAGTGACTTCTTATACAGTAATATGGATAGTGGTAAAATAACGGATTTGATTTGATTCCGTGAACTACCGGAAGTTACTATAGGCATACTAAAAAGATTTTAGAGATAAAATCATGCTCAGAATACCACCCAAGAAGTTTTCAAATACTGGTCAACTGCGATAACTTGGAACAAGGGAAGCACACATCTGTGATTGCAGATAAGTTTGGCCTGTAAAGCTGAGCACTAAGTTTAACACCACTTGATAAGACGAAGAGTGACGGCTTGAAGACAGAACTACCAGATGACAGGCCTTATGCTGTTTGGTAAGAACGGCTCTGTGTACTCTGTACTCTGTGTACAAAATGGACATTTTGCAGGATCTGTAAAGAAACCATAATGAAACTCACATTGTCATAAACAAATTGTGTTATTTCAATAAAATCCAAACTAGTACGGATGACTTGCCTTATGAAATTGGTATGTATAAAGACTACAAGTTCACATTATTGATATCATTATCTTACACCTTTTTTGTATTCACTGCTGAAAAGAAGCGGACGCTACCTACTTGATCCGCACCTAAAAAGTTCACATTATTGATATCATTATCTTGCACCTTTTTTGTATTCACTGCTGAAAAGAAGCGGACGCTACCTAGTTGATCCGCACCTAAAAACATGCAACCTTTCAGAGTAGCTATAGAGTGTAGCACCTACCATGCGCATTTGTTCCCATGGTTGTGCACATTGTTGTACATGAAATGCCTAATAATCCTATGCTGTCTGATTTTTTTTCCGCTACCTTGTCATGTAACATACAGCCAACCCATTCACAGAAACAGTGTTGGTTAACAGTTTGGGTACACCCTAGATTTTGAAATGTGTTTTAAATTCAGTGTTTGTGTCCCACATACATAATTAGCTTGCTTGGGCTCTAAAAAAGATTGAAACCAGTTTCCATTTTTACCGGTATGTTTCTACATTGCACTAAAACACGATTTAGGTATGTTGAATTAAAAAAGTCCCTTCCATAGACCCTCCCCCCCCCCCCCCCCAGCCTCAAACAAAAGTCTTTCCTGGGAGGATGATTGTCTGAGGTGAATGTCCGGGGGGGGGGGGGGTATTTGTCCTGGGGGTAATTGTCCCAATTTGAACAACTCAAGATCTCCCTTTCTAGCACGTGATGCCTAAAATTTTGGTAAGAAACCAGCCATGGATTTTTAAAGATGAAGAAGAAAATGTAAAAAGTTTACATCACACAATTTGCGATTAAATAGCTCACTTGGGCAATTGAGCTTGGAAACTTGATGGGCCTAGGTTAAAGCTAGTAACAAGAAAATTTTTAATTTACAACAAAAATAAATGGTACAGTTGCAAAAGTAGGGAAAAATACACATTTAAGATATTTCAGCAACAACAAATTTAACACACATCTATGGAAGTGATTTAAATCACTGATTTTGACAAAATAAATGAATCAAGGTGATCTAAATCATCCCTACCCTAGATGAAACTAGGCTTTAAAATGACAAACAAAACCTTCTAACCAACAGCACCTTGGCAAAATTGCCAAATTTGCTTGGGCAAATGATGCTTTATGTATTAGTATCCAAAATACCTCACAGTAATATTAATTTTTTACATGTATTTCGGCATTGTGACAAACTAATGCCTCAGTCACACCTCTGCGTATGTTGCTGCGTATTGCTGCGCTCTGCGGCGTATATCAATACGCAGCCGTGCCCAGCAATACGCAGCAAATTTGAAGGTAGCAGTCACACTATTGCGTATCTAGCTCGTAGGTAGCTCATATGCCGCTCGTACAAAGACTGCCTACGGTTGCCTATGGCCACGCTATAGCTCATAGCAGTACGATTCAATACGCAGTTTGCTCGCCATGTTGCGTATGTAGCTTGTTTGCTGCTTTTTTGCTGCTCGTTAGCCGCTTGCACCAGTTGGTCTTGTTGCGTGTCCGCTTGCTTTAGCTCGTCTGTTGTTCGTACTGATGTGTGTCGGCTCGTGCTACAGCGTACCAGCTCGTTTGGGCTGCGGCATATGTAAAAATACTAGTCCTTTTGAGGGACTGGGCATAAACATCTATCTTCTGACGATTCTACATCTACAAGAAAAATAAATCTGATGACAATAATGGCCCTGCAGCAGAGCTCTGCTTTGGTTCAGCTGGAAGAAGAGAGGCGAATGAAGATTATGAGCAAGGGAAGCTGCTGAATGAGCTGCATCAACAAAGTATCCCTCGGAGTTGTTGGGTGCGGTCCTGGATCTACTGGAGGAAGGACCAGGGACAATTCGACCAACTGATGAGGGAACTGGAAGACGAGGACCAAGAGGCATTCACGGACGTGTTGAGGCTAACCCCTGAAATGTTTAAAGAGTTAGAGCAGAGACTACATGAAAGACTGGAGAAGTGGGACACCTTCTTCAGGAAAGCCCTCTTACCCGCACTGAAGCTGGCCAGGGTGACAGCTACAAGACACTAATGTATAGCTTTAGGGTAGCCCATAATACCATTTCACTCATGGTACGTGAGATATGCACTGCCATCATTGAGGAATACGGTGATAAGCTGGTGATGTGACCTACCAGCCCACAGGAATGAAAAGCAGTCACACAGGGCTTCGAAGGCTGCTGGAATTCTCCCCAAACCTTGGTGCTTTGGACGGCAAGCATGTTGCAATCAAGTGCCCTGAGGATAGTGGGTCAATATTTTACAACTACCAGTGTTTCTACTCTATTGTACTCATGGCCCTGGTCGACGCCAAGTACAGATTTGTGTGGATAGATGTCGGAAACGAAACCTCTGATGCACAGCTCTTCAACTCGTGTGAACTAAAACAACGTCTTAAATCTGAAATCCTTGGAGTGCCTCTGCCAGAGCCTCTGTCCAACGATGATGAAGACATCCCCTACTTCTTTGTGGCAGACGAGACCTTCGCCATGACAACATGGCCAATGAAGCCGTACGCAAGGAGGGCTATGGCTAAACAAGAGAGAATTTACAACTACCGGCTGTCCCAGGCAAGGAGATTGGTGGAGAATGCTTTCGGCATTCCTACCAACCGATTTCAGTGCCTGCTGAGTACTGACCACTCTCCGACAAACCCCTTCAACCGTCAGGACCATGGTATAGGCAAGCTCCTTCTGTTGGTCACTTGAGAAGTTGACTAGGTCTTTCCGCGGCTTCTCCGCCATGTTCGTCTCGTGTTCACCCAGCGATGGTACCTAGGCAGCTTGACTGGCTTCGTCCTCGTCGTCACCCCCCCCCCCCCTTTTCGCTTTGGCTTTCGGCATCTTTTCAGTGTTCAGTAGTTGTATATTTTTCAACTGTTGACTGCAGTATGATTCCACCCCGCCTTATATTGCCGATACGCAGCGCATAGGCAACTAATCGCAGTGATAGCGAGCTAAAGCGTGTGGCAACCAGCAACTGCGAGCTAAAGCAAACGCTGTACGAGGTAGACTCGCAGCGTAGCGAGTGGCAATCGCAAGGTTTTTTGGCTGCTGTGAGTGATGTGCGAGCAACAGCGCAACAATACGCGCAATCATGCATATAGACACGAGTTAAAGCGAGGTAATTCGTGCAGGAAACGCAGCTACACATGCTCCGAAAAAAGAGGTGCGTATGATTGCGTTTACCTGCGCTAAGCTACACGCTGTCGCTTGCATTCACTGGTTGCCACTCGTATCCGCTCGTATGCGATTTGACCTTGCGTTTGCTTGCGATAGTTTAGAAAATTTTAAAACTAGCGAGCGACCAACGCAGGCACATGCGCTGGTTTGCGTATTGAGTACGTAGTGAGCATGTTTTATTGCGCGTTATTGGGTATGACTGCCTTTGTCTGCGTTCGGGTAATACCCAGCAATACGCAAGCCAAATACGCAAAGGTGTGACTGAGGCATTAGACATTGTAAGACATAAGTTGTGTCATGTTTTTCTAGACATTATTCTACACCAGACTGTAGAGCAGGGAAGAGCAAGGAGAAAATATCTGCCTACCGGTAATTCCAATTGGACACATATTTTCTGGCTGATTTCAATACCCCAAAAGCGATGGACAGTTGTAACTCCTCCAAGTATTATAATTTCTATGAGATATTTTGGAAAGCTACATGTATGTACATTATTGTTTATGGAAGTAAAGGATGATTTACAGTTAATCTGGAACAATAAAAAAATGTGCTAAAGTATCATTCAAACATACCACTTTGTCTACAATCAAAATAAATTGGAAGACATATTTACTTAGGTTCAGTTGGAGAGAGAAAAAACATTATTTTCAAAAAGGCCCAAAGTTCTTACATGCTCCGAGTCATCCATCTTCTATCCACTCAGAACTGATCTCTTGAAAATGGGTACATGGCATGGTCGATTCCTTGAAGAAGATCTCTAACGTTGAGGCACTGTGATTTAAAATACAGACAAATTGCTCATTACAAGACAGTCAAAAATAATGTCATTATGCTGATACGGTACATGACCGACAATATGTTACCATATTATTTGTATGGCATGGCTGCAGATAGACCTTAAATCAGTTTATTTGTTCTAGGAAATTGCCTTTTGTCAAAATCCAAATACAGTACCTAAAATCATGTGTTGGCTGACATTAATATATCAAAATAAACAGACAAACAAAAACAAAACATACAAACACTTACAAGAGTACATCCCATCAAGTTTATATCTATTTGTAAATCCATTACTTGTAAATAATACCAGTAAAAAAGAATTTAAATGGACAATGGATACTCAATTCAATACAATTCAGTTCACCAACGTAAGTGTATAATAGAGAGGGGTAAAGGCTAGATGATAATATGAAGTTAATATCCCCTACATGTAGTCTTAATAAACAATAATACAATAATACAATAATACTCGGGGGGGGGGGGGGGGGTTACAGCCCCCAGCTGCGTTTGCCAATGGCAGAGCGGTCTCTGTTATCACAGATGAAAGCGTGAAAAGATGTTGTATTTCAGTATCAATAACATGGATTAGGCCCGCCATGTGTATTGTATCGACAGAGAACATACTAATCAACATTAAAAAAGACTCTCCGTTATGTAACCCTATTCTTGCCTTCCTTTATGAATAACTTGTATGGATGGCCTGGTGGTCTCCATCATTGGCGTAGATCCTTACTTGATACCTATTTTTGAGGGGGGATGAATGAATAGATCACCCCCTCCCCCCTGAACAATGGGTATTAAGTAATGATCTACGACACTGGTCTCCATTATCAGAAAGGGAAAGGGGCACATATTGTTAAAAAGGAAATTATCATAGGTGAAAAGGGGCACTGATGAGAATAAAAAAAGGGGCACTTATACTGAAGGATAAAGAGCAATATTTTAGAAAAGAAAAAGGGCATGTGTCAAAATAAGAGGGGAAGTTATTAGAGGTGAAAAAGGACACTCATTAGTGATGAAAAGAGCACTTATCAGGAGGGGAAGGGGCATTTGTAAAAGTAAAACCAGTATCTCTCAGATTTGAATAGGGGCAATTATAAGAGGTGAAGGGGCACTTATCTGAAGTGAAAAGGAGTAACTTCTCGTACCTGAAAAGGGATACTTACTAGAGATTAAAAAGGGCACTTTAAATGCGAATGGGAAATGGACACTTATTGCAAAGGAAAATGGACACATGTCAAATTAAAAGGGGCACTTATCAGAGGTGAAAGGAACACTTTTTGGGTACTCTGAAAAGTGAGGGGAGGGGGCATGGGTATATTGTCTGCAAGATTCAGACTAATATTCGCAAAATATGAATTAAACGCTTCTGCTTTTACTATCATTGAGCAGAACATTCCGTTTTTTTTTGCACTATCCACCAAACAGAAGGAATAGCATGTGTAATTCAGTACAATATCATCATAATCTTGAATTAACCAAAACTATTTAAGATATGCTTTACTATACACATTCCATAGATCCTGGTGGGCATGGGCTGCAGCACCTTCTCTTTGGAATACTTTACCATTTAATTTGAGAATCATAACTTCCTTAGAGACCTTTAAATCAAAGCTGAAATCTTATCTTTTTTAACGATACCTGTATTTGGCACTATGACACTCATCCAAACTCTCTCATTCTTTATATTTTTTTTGTGGGCCTCGGAATAGAATTGTCTAGATAGACGGCACGATATAAATGCCTATTATCAATTTTAATGGAGATGATATCAGTCGATCTTTCTTCAATTTAAATTTACAAAATTTCCATCAAAGGTGCGCATCAGATTGCACTATTTGAAGTGAAAAATTGCAAAAGCTCCATACTGTGTCAAACTCAAGGCTCAAAATACACTGGGGTAGCGGGCGCTTGGCCCCTGTGAGCTTCATAATCGCCTCCGTCAGATTGCTCACAGGGACGATTGCAAATCTGGTGATTCCAAAAGACCAGCAAATAATAAACCTCGACCAGTAAATCAACCGAAAGCTATATTTAGTAAAAGGAAACCAGTTGGCGAGGAGGCGACTGCACGGGCTTGGACCAGAAATTTCGTACAGAGGTAGGAGATCTGACCATTAGAGCATACAGTAACTTGTAAAGTTGTAAGAGGGAAATAATACCGAAAATGATGAAATAGCAAAGAATTTAGGAGTATCATGGGTACCACCAATTCAATGGAAATTTGTATTTAAAAAAAAAGCCCCCGTCAGTACTAAAAGAGCCCCCGTGAGAAGGCTCACGGGGGCTCTTTTTTTGGAAGAGCCCCCGTGGACAAAAAATTAATTTGAGCCCTGGTCAGACTGAAATCAGAGTTTTGTTTTCTCTTTATTTAATACAGAGCCTGTATTCAGCAATCCCCCTCCCCCATTCCAACTGAAATTAAAGATTTGTTTTCTCTTTCTTTTATACAGAACATGTATTAGGCGAGCCCCACCCCCCCCCCTTCAACCTGTGGTTACGCCAGTCACATTTCCCTACTCTTACTCGACTATGATATGTCTGACTTAAATTATAGTTTTGTTTTCTCTTTATTTAATAAAGAGCCTATTTTAAGCGAGCCCTCCCCCTCCCAATTCCCCCCGTGGCTACGCCAATCAAATTTTCCTACTCTTTCTTGAATATTAGAGTTCCGACTAAATTGAAGGTTTGTTTTCTCTTTATTTAAAACAGAGCTTGTATTGGTGGGTGAACCCCTCCCCCATTCCTCATTTAATACAGAGCCTGAATTAGGTCTCACCTAATACAGGCTCAGTACTAAAAGAGCCCCCATGAGAAGGCTCACAGGGGCTCTTTTAGTACTGAGGGGGGCTCATATTTTGTACAAATTTCCATTGAATTGGTACCCATGATACTCCTCAATTCTTTGCTATTTCATCATTATCACTTATTTAAGTCAGCATTTTCCCTCTTACAAACTTACAAGTTACATATCTGTTACTGACTGTCATCCCGTCATGACAATCCCTCCATTTCAGCACATTAGTTCTGCACATTATTTCCTCCTCATTATTCGGAGCAACCTTATTCACATTCTTTCTTCACTTTAACCCTATTTAGCCCGGGCTATTTTGAAACTGCATAGCCCGGGGAGGGGGGGGGGGGGGCTTCTAAGGCCCCCCCCCCCTATGATCTCGGCCGTGAAACGAAAATTTGCATACATGTCAAGTGAAGTGTATAGAATACTATGGTAATTTCAATTTTTTTGAAAAATTCACTCATTTGCATATTTATGGTAATTTATGCAAATAAGGTCATCAAATTCACATCGTCTATGAAGGTCATGTATAAAATAAAGAGAAAACAAAATAATTTCAGTCTGACTTTTTATGGTCGAGAAAGAGTTGGGAAATGTGATTAGCGTAGCCATGGGGAATGGGTGGGGGGGGGGGGGGGGGAGCTTGCCTATGAAGGTCATGTATTAAATAAAGAGAAAACAAAGTAATTTCAGTCTGACATTTTATGGTCGAGAAAGAGTTGGGAAATGTGATTGGCGTAGCCATGGGGAATGGGGAATGGGGGGGGGGGGGGGGAGGGCTCGCTTAATTCAGGCTCTGTATTAAATAAAGAAAATACAAATCTTTTATTTTAGTTGGAACTCTCATATTCGAGTAGGAGAGAGGAAAAGGGAGCGGAGGGCTCACTTAATACAGACTCTGCATTAAATAAAGAGAAAACAAAACTATAAGTTTAGTCGGACGTATCAT